CAGAAAACAAAATGTTTTCTTCTTGTAACCCAGACCCTTGGATATCATGGCCCACATGCCTCAATCATTTGACCACATCAACCTCGTCTCCCTCTTGCCCACCACTATAAATGCGTGATTTTTTTCTTGAGAGGCCACTCTGTGATTTAAATAAGTCTTTCCACTTCAAAAGTCTGGGCTCTTTACACAAATCATAAATCCCTTATACTCCCAGATCTTCCGTTTCCATATCCACAAAATTTGGTGAGGCTGTTATTAGATATCCACAGCTGTGAACATTCAGGAAGAGAGAGGGAGCAGAGGGAGAGGATAGAGAGAAGGATGGACAGAGGAAATATAAGACTTAATTATCAATTCATTGATAAACAATAGTTTACTATGACTAATTTTCTTTTCTTGTGAATGTCACATGAAACACAAAAATCTAAATTGAACTACTATTTGTGAATTAATCTTGAAATGTGGTCTTACTACTTGGAAAGGAGTCACCTTCTCAAAGGCATCATTATTACAAGGGACTACATTTCTGTGGCCAGGGGATGAAGGCACAGCCAGTGCGTCGCCTGGCCACCTTAGCTGTTGCTTCTAGAGACCATCCTCTCAAAAAACACTGGTCTCTAAATGTCCCAGGTCTGATAAATTTACGGCTCTAGTAGTCTTATAGCTACAGAACAAAGGACTGGTGGCTAAGAATGAAGTACATTTCAGAACATACTGCCTCTAGATTTCCTAGTATACAAGGATATGATTAACATAAAACTGTTCTTTCAAAACTGAATTTCAAAAGGTTTTTCCTATTTACTTTGCAGAAAAACTTCCAAACATAAAGTTGTCAGTAACAGGCATATGTCAGGAACGATTAGTTACTGTTCCAGGCTACACATTAATACCTGGATTCTCCGGGGCTGCCCTCTGCGCAGTCCATGTCCATTTCGAGTCCTTCTTCTGGTTCTTCACGTTCATCCTCTTCCTCACCTCCCGCTTCCTGGGCCTCCTCCTCAGAGTTGCCATACTTATATTCAGCCACTTCTTTAGCGAAGAATGATACGGACTCTGGGATCACAAGCGGGTGGAAAAAATATTCCAATTTAAAATCAGTATGGACATCCAGATCTCCCGCCTCAGGAGAATCTGGAGAATAGAAATACGTTAAAAACAAGTCTAGCTTCCATCTGCCACCATACAAATGTCCCCCTCCACATCTTTGGCATGAAGTAGTCTATGCAGAAGTCGAAATAGCATGATGCACACACAATGGTATCAACCAGTTACCTCCACAAAATATAAATTTAAACAGTAAAATAAAATAACAAGAACAGCTGGGCATTTCCTCCTGGTTGAAACAACACTTCCGTGGCCCTCCCATTTCTGCTGCTTGAGAGTTTTTACGGTGACGTTTTTCCCCTCTTCCAGTACATCTCACACCCCCTGCTGCTGATTCTGGCCCTTGGGAGAAGGAGGGAGCAGGCTCATCTGGTTCTGACAGCATCTGGTGTGTTTTTGTCAGAACTTCACTGGGAAAGATTTGTTTGATTTAAAGACAAATTCTGTGGTGAAGCTCATTAGCTCCTCAACCCCTGCAAAGGGCGCCAGGGCCATTTCATCCTTTTCTTGGATCATCTTACCAAGAATCTTCACCTTTTTAAAAGCCATCAAGCAAAAGCGAGGTATACCATTTGTTTGCCCTTTTCCTTCAGGCTCACTGTCCACTTCCTCCCAGCTCCCTCCTGAGCACCTGCTTCCCAGTGACATTCACCTTCTGTGGGCTCATGAATTGCACTGATGATCTCAGATCTCTTATTGAACAGGGCTTCGTAAAAATCGTACTTTTTCTCAAGACTGTACAGGTCTCTACAGAATTGGGAATGCTTCAGCCAGAAGCGTTTCGAAAAAAATGGACCTGTAGCTTAATCACCTGAGGCAAGCGCTAAGAGTGGCCTGCAAGTGAGCCAGCTGCGCCCACGGAGGCTCCGAGAGCCTGAAGATGTGGCCTCCATCCACCACCTCAGTTTCCTAGGGTGCACAGCCCCAGCCTCCCCCAGGACACGGCAGTGTCAGCCAGCACTTCACCCTCCCAGGCCTTGACCTCCACCGGTTCCTCTGCCTTCTGGGATGCAGCCCTGTCTGCGGGTTCCTCCAGCTCCCAGGCGGATGCACCCTCTGCCAGGTACTTGCCGTCCCAGACCTGGGCTCCCGGGATGTGCCACCCTCTCCCTGGTCCTCGGGCTCCTGAGATTGCGGCCTGACCACCACGGAGTCAGCGTGGGGCGGGACCAGGATGTGGTCCTTCTCATGGATGCGGTGTAGAAGGGAATGGACCAGAGCCCAGAACAGGGACCACGAGCGCGCCATGGGGAGCTCACAGAAGCCCAAGACAACTTCTGCGGCCTCCTTACCATCCTCCTCTTCCTCTTTGTCCACATGATTCTCACGCTCTTGCTCGTCGCTTTCTTCCTGCTCCTCTTCTTCTCCTCCTCACCCCCTTCCTCTGCCTCTCCCTCCTCCTGCTCGTCCTCCTCCTCCCCAACTGCCTCCTCCTCTCCTGGCACCCACTCCTCTTCTACCTGCTGTACATCCCAGTTCTCGATGATGACTTCGGGGATGTCCAGCCAAACCTCTTCTTCCACATGAGCTTGCACTATTGCCTGGAAGTCCCCAGGGTATGCGGCCCTTGCGACTTCTGCCCCCAACTCCGCAGACTCGGTGGATCTGGGGTCCTGGCCCACCCCACCACGGGCTCTGTTCTGGCCACCAAGGTCTGGGCTTCCCTTCTCTATGTCAGACATGGTGGGAGAGACGCAGCACTCTGCCTCAACTTGGGAAAACTGATCTGGCGGTTTCGTAACGGTAACAAAGATGGCGGCCACCAGGCTAACTATGGCTGCGGAAACCTGTTGGCAGCAAGGCCTGCTGGGAAATGGTGGCGGCAGCAGAGAAGATGGCGGCGGGGTGGGGAGTGGGAACAGTCTGTGTTGGTGTGTGACGGGAGGCGGGGCTTAGAAGGGTCAACAAAGGTCCTCTTCCCCATTGTGAGCTCTAAGCTCATTTGCTGAAAGGTGAGGATTGACACGCCTGGCGTCCAATGAATTTTCAAGACACTCAGCTTCCGGGATTTGAGTCCTTCCTCTCTTTCCCTTGAGGCGTGAGAGCCGTGGGTTAGTCCTGGAGCCCAAGCATGTCCTGTCTTTATAATTCTACCGTGGCCAGCAGAACTAAAGTATTCCGATATGGAGGCATCCCGCTGCACAGGGTGAATTGTTACCCTGATTTCCACCTGGAGATGGCTCATGCCAATAGGGACAGAGTCATAAAAAGACTACATAGTTCAGATTTCACCAATAGTAAAAACCTACCTTAGCAGAGAGAACAGAAGAATTTGGACGTTTTCCCGTTATTAAACCTGCTTTGAGTAAAAGCATACAAAATTGTAATGGATGCAGTCACAACAGAGAGTTGCAGAGCGGGAAGGTGTTTAATAAACGCTGCTTAATTTACCTCAGGCCTCCAAAGAATGAAAAAATAAAGAGAGATACTTCTTTTAAAGCACCAAGCTAAGCATGATAGACATTAAAAAGCAGGCTTCCTAGAGTGATTCCTGAGTCAACAGTCCAAGACTTTTTGTTGTATTCAGCCCCACTCAGCCAAGATGACAAGTGTAAACAATTCTGAAAATTATAAAGAAAGCCACAGCTATTTTATACTGGTTCCATCTACCACTGTTACCGGGCAAGAAGCACCAAAAGAATTCCTGATGAATCCTCTGAGTTCAGACATACTTCTCCCTATCCCCATAATGTAGCAACAACTCACATCTCCGCATGGCATGAGGGTCAACTTGCCCCTCTACTATATACATTCCTGTCTTTGCCTGCTGATCCTCTGCCTCAAGGAGGCTGCAAAGACCAGGTGGTGGCTGTAGCTTCAAGTTCAGTAGAAGCCAACCTGTATCCCTTACCAGAAGCAGTCTCTCTTGAGACCCAGAACATAATATGGCTGACTCTAACGTTTCAGGGATGGGAAGCATGTATTCTGCAAGTGTGCTAAGGGGAATGATGGTGAGAGGAGCTGTTGTAGCCATTCCGCAAAGAAAGGATGGATCTTTCCCCTCAACTAAAATTTGCTTCGGATATCAAGACTGATGAAACTACACTGACTGATGCTAAGAAGGTATGATGAGGCTTATTACTTACATAGTGAGGCTTTCATAGAAGAGCAGGAAGCCTTCCCAAACTGGTCTGAAAATGGTTTGAGAGAGTGGGGAAAGGAGACTAGCTTCAGGTTTTTGTTTTGTTTAGATGGTGGGGCCAGGATGAAGGTTCTGATGCAGAGGTAGTGGTTTGCATGGTTTGAACCTCCTATTTGTTTCCAAGAAGAGATTACCTAGGATTTCTTGTCAGCTTGCCCATATATGGGGTGGAAGGGAAGAGGAAGGGCTGAGGCCTAAAAGTTCTCAGCACTCAAACATCATAAAGTGGAATCAGACTCATTTTTACGGGAGCTCATTTGATTTTCACCCCTTGGTTCCCAGATTCATGTACACTAGATTCGGGGACACAGCATCAAACATCACTTTTTGATTCAGCGCATATACCAGATCCTGGAGGAAAGTGCCCCAACCACGCAGAGTATTGTACCTGAACTGACACTTCAGCTGAGCTGCTCCACCTGGTGGGCGAAATTTAGCCAAACACAAAGGAGATGTTGTTGACCATACATACTCCTCCCTCTTGAGTCTGAGTGTACCTGACAGCCAGTCTATTATGCATTACAACCTTACAAGGAAGTTTAGATTGATTTCCTGATCTTCTAGAACTTGTGCTGTCTCATTGACTATGATAGCTAAAGTTAAAGATAGGTTCCTGATCATTGTCTCTAGGGCATGGACACTGATGTCAGGGGTTTGGAATCAGGAGTCAATGTATCCCCAGGTAGGACAGCACTCTTTACCTGGTGTCCCAACAAGTGGTCCAAGGTGTGGTGCCACTTCCAATAAATACAGGAGACATTACATGAATGAAAAAATCACTGCTGTCCCTGATGGAAAGATGTTCTGTGGCCCACTCTCCAACACATACAAGAATATAACCCAAAGAGGCTTCATACGCTTGATTTGGATCATCTTTATATTGGTTTGGTAAAGCCACATGGGCAGTGGCACCGAATAGATACAGCTTCTATATGCATACATTCCACTGGTGCCATGGGTGCATCAAGAGACCTGTATGGTTTTGTATCAGTCTTTCTGAAACAGGGTTGTACTGGTCAGAGTGTTTGTACCTATATGAGGGGGTTCAAGTTTGATGGCCATGGCAGTAGGAAGTTTTCTGTTCCTATAGTGTGTGGATAGAATGACAAAGCTCATAGGGATTCAGTCAGCCACGGCTGCCAGTTGACTCAAGTGGACCATGGAGATATTTGCCAAGCTGTGGTGCTGGATCCAGGGGACATAAAGCACTGAGTGTTCCCCCATCCCCAAACCTGCCAGGGTATAAGGAGCTCAAATCAAGATACGAAGATTGTTGCTTTCTCCAAGGTACTGAGGTTGTTGCTTTCCTTCTATGGCCACATAGTCTGTTTGTCCTAATCTAGTAGTTAGTACCTCTCCTATTGACCTAGCCATTCCCCACCTGCACTCAGACCTATCTAGATATGCCAGGGGTTACGTGGGCTCTGGCACAATAGTGGAACTTGCATTGGTTTATGATATCCCCTATTGCTGTCTGAGTAGGCCACCACAAGCGTAATCTAGGTTTCATGAATTCCAACAACGGATCATTAGTCATGTGATCTGTGACCCACAAACCCAATGACTGAAGCCGGTTGACAGTAGAAGCAATAGGCTGGAGTCACTCTTCCTTTTTTGTCTAACTAACGTCAGTGAAGAAAAAGAAAAAGAAGAGGAATGGTTGGGGATTATCAGTGTAGGAACACTGATACAGAGAGCTAGCCTCTCTGTTCTCTGACCCTTTCTATCCTGCATTCTCCAAACAACCATCAGAAAGGGAATTTTCTTTTGCTGTAAACAGCTTCATATCATGACCATATAGTCTGTTTTGATGTCTAGTCTGGCAATGATTCTGGCAACATTGACTGTCCAGCAATCTTTTATAGTCGAGGCTTTGAAAATCCGCTCTACCTCTTGATGATGCCAGCAGCTTGAGTATAAAAAGGGGCATGGAATGCCTGTTGAATGTCATGCCCCTCAGCGCACTGTTGAGTCTCCTTCATCATGAATGGCCTCCACTGAAAGATTGTAAGTGACCAAAAAGGTGGCAGAATTTAGATTCAAGTGTTACCATGGTGTGGCCAGAATCTGCTACTCATATAGGAATGGCAACTTCATAGCCTGAATAATTTTCAATGGTTGTTAGACATCAAAAGTAGCCACCATATGGCAGCACAGGATGGAAATAGTTTCTTTGCCAGGAATGCACAGGGCTCAGAGTCATGTAACCTGTTGATAGGTAGCATAGATTGAGGTCTTTTGAGCCCATTGGATTCTGGTGGTAGGATCACTTTCCCAGTCTGATAATGAATTCAGGTAGCACTGCTAGCCTCCAGGGCTATGCAGACCCATTGGTCACACTGTTTGATTTAGTCTCTTCTGAGTATGGATACTTTCCATACTGTAGCAATGGCATTTGAGAGCTCATGGCTCCACAGAGGCATGTCTTTTATATATCAGTCATCATCCCCCATGATCTCAAACAGACAGCTAGGCTATTGGCCATAGCCCAAGAGCCAGTGAAAATACAACACGCCTCCTCCTTAGAAGCATCGTCTAAAGGAAGGGTGGCAGCTTTCAATATGGCCCACGGTGCTGACTGGCCCTCACTGCATTTAGGGTTGTCATTGGAGTTGAATGACTGCTGACACCCAGGGACGCTATTAGCTTTGATTTTGGCCAAGACACCAATAAGCCAAGGCCAAGTATCCTTGGGGACTTCTTGGAAGTGTGGTTGCCAGTTAGCTAAAGGCTTCCTTTGTGATTGAGCAAGTGGAGGTGAAATGGCCCCTAAAGGGGTGGCTGCAACCTTTTCATATAAGGAGGAACCAGGTATAGGACCAGACTTGCTTCTCAAATATAACATTTCCATTTAAAAGAAAAGGTTGTTGTACCTTTCCAACTTGGTTGTTAATATCTGAGTGCCACAAACTCAAGATGGGGATGTCTGGATATGATGTTACCTGGCAGTCCTGACTAAAGCTCTCATTCTCCACAAATGTCCAGTAACAGGCGAGTAGCTGTTTCCCAGATAGTGTGCAGTGGATGGTCCTGTCAGGGAGGCAGTGAGTTCAGAACTCCAAGAGGCACTTCCAGGTGGAGGTGGTCTTCCTTGCTAGAAGCTCAAATCAGAATAGTTATCAGTAGCAGATATTTGTATGTCCAAAGGACCCTTGGAGTTTTACAGGCACCAAAGGGAGGGCTGCTGAGAAAACGTGTCGCACTCCCCCCAGCTGCCTGCTACTCCTGTACCCAGCTACATTTACCAGATTCTCTGTTCAACATATGCATAAGGTACAAGATGTATTGCCTTCAATACCCGAGCAGTCACATTAAGTGTTGCCTTCTTTTTCAGGTAGTAGTGAGCCATAGGGTGACTTTTCCTTTACTGTCTTGGAGATTGATCTTTGAGCCTCAGCCCACATGGGTCCCATGAATTTATATCTTATCAGGATTAATGAGCCATCTCTTGGCTTTCGTGCAAGTCGGCAAACAGCCATTGCCAACTGTTCTTTATTGCAGCCTACCAGCATGATATCATCAGTGGGATGGAACCGAGTCTTGCAAGAAGGGAGAGGGGCTTGTTCCATATATCAGCCTACCCATTGGTGGCAAATATCAGGAAAACCTGAGCGCCCCAGGTGCAGCACAGTAATTGTGCATTTAAGCACAAGGTCTGGAACAGCCAGAGCTACAGGGGCAACAGCTGAATT